GGACGACCATGGTGCCGAACCTTGCGACAGGAGATTCGGTTCGGCTGTGGAGATGCAATTAGAATGCTGGGAATAAATAGCTCGAATGAATGGTTTGCAATATGTCAAAAAGAGGCGCTTCTCCTCCAAAACCTCGACGTGGGTTTCCCATGAAAAAGATCGTCGCAAACAGGGGAACAGCGTTGATACGGTTATCGCACGGGGAGCGGGCGGTGAATGGTAGCCCCGCCAATATCAGAGGGCTTCGACATTACGGGTATACCTCTGGGGCTAACTAAGGAAAAGTGATATAGGTATTGGAACAATAGTTTGGATTGCGTAGGTATTTCAAAGGATTAAAGGTTATGAGGTGCTCCATCGCTGAACTAAATCAGATCCCCCGTATGATTTCTCCTAATCACCAACCAATTCTTAACGACGCCGGAAGAGCTATGGACAATGACTTCCACCAAGACAAAAAGGAGACAAAGTAGGAATAAAAAGAAAATAAGATAAAAAACACAAGTTAACGCGCTAGCTTCGTAGAACCCTTGAACAGAAATAGGGCCAGACTTCAAATTGAGACTGGAATTCAATGGCAGAAGAGCGTTTCTTAGGGAAATTTCACGTGAAACCATTATGCGAATGTCTGTCCAGTAGTGTTACCCTGCACTGATCCCTGTACCAAGGCTTGGCCAGCTTCATTGCCTTGTTCAATGTTATGGAAGTCGAGAATTTCCGAGTACCTGTAGTAGTGGAAAATTAGCAAGAATCGTGACGGGGTAACAAATTCAGCACGTACATCATGATCTTCCAAGTATCTACGGGCAGATCGGCATCATTGAACGACCAATCGAACTTCTCTTGCGCGACAGGCTCATCAGTCGGGTCATGGTAAGGTGCCAGGTACTCATGTGCCAATGCTTCGGGGGCTTGAATGCGCTGCTTCGGGTTGAAAACCAGCATGCGCTCGAGCAGGTCAACCGCTAAAATAAGAGAGACAAGTTAGCGTCATGCTCATAATCCCCCTGGTCGGCTCAGATATCACATACCATCAGCATCGGCATTCTTGAATTTATTTGCGAGGGGTTGGCGCTCGCGCTTTGGTAAAGACTTGACAAATCGGAGGGTCTGGGTCATCATCTATTAGCATGTTTTCGTCTTTCACCGAGCAAAGAATAAGTACTCACGTTCTCGCTACAGATGGTCTGGATCACGTCATCGGGAGGAGTACCAAGCAGCTCCGTAATGATCGAAAACTGGTTGACATGGTCCTTTCCAGGGAACAGTGGCTTTCCTTCCAACATCTCGGCGAAAATGCAGCCCGCGCTCCAGATGTCCACCTCGACATCGTACTTTTGCCAGGTGAGCATGATCTCGGGCGCGCGGTAGTATCGTGTTGAGACATAGCCGGTCATTTGAGGGTCCTGGATGCGGGCAAGACCAAAGTCGCAGATTTTCAGATCACAGTTCTCGTTAATCAGGATGTTGCTGGGTTTCAGATCCCGGTGAACCACGCCGGCGGAGTGAACATATTTCAAGCCACGCTATCAAAAAGTCAGATTCTGGCGTCCCGGATAATATTCCCGTAGAAACCCTTACCAGAATTTGATATAAAAAGTACTGAATGAATTGCTTTTCAAGGGGTCGCGAAGTAAGAAGTCGGTGGAGGTCAGTTCCCAAAAGTTCGGTGACGAAGTAGCTGTGGTCATTAGTTCACACCGTTCAACCCCGCCTTGCAGATGAGGGGAACATACATATCTTCCAAGGGCGAAATGAAAATGTCACTCAAGCTGATAATCTGCAGAGTGTCAGCATAAAAGCCTGGTATATTTATTTGACGGGGTACGGACGTTCTCGTGGCGGAGATGTTTGAGCAGCTTCAGCTCCCGGTAGGTTCGCTTGGACAGAACGGGGGTACTGAAGGGCTTCATGATTTTTTTAACTGCGACTGGCTGTGCAGTCAATTGGTCTTTGGCAGAGCTGTTGTATTAATGGCCTTGTTAGCATGTACTGTAGGCTTGGGAGTTGTCTTGTGCGACACAGGATACAACATACCAGACTAGTCCGAAGGCACCCATTCCCACCGGCTGCAGTTCCGTATACCTAGAAATCAAGTTAGCACCAATATCCCCCTGGATGCGCCTGCTAAAGCGCCCATAGTAAGTATAGCAGAACAGGGCATTGCGAACCGGCTGGTGATCTCAAAGGTGGTGCCGAAAATCTGGGCACGCACGAATTCGGCCATGATGGAAAGGTGGGGGTTATGCAAGCAGATACACTGAAGATAGAAAATTCCAAGAAGAGTGTCAAGTCAAAGAAGAGTAAAGCGAGACAAGATGAAGGCTTCGAAAAGAAATCCAGAAGAAAGGGGTCGCGAAGAAAGCAAGTGTGTTGGCAACAGGTGTGGGGAAGGGACTGGGTGAAAAGCGCAGAAAACAAGGCCGATGACGTTGGCGAAGCCCGGGTTGGTGATGACTCAGCAGGTTCTAGCCTATAGTTATATTAAAATGGATTCTCTTATTATTTTAAATTGGGAGAGAGTTACTTGATTTTGATTTTGATTTTCATTATACATTGAATTAATACATACATAGTATATACTATTGTAACTCTTTATATATATGGATATACAATAACATCCTCCATGTCCAACTGTGAACTTCCAAGTTTGAAAGGTTGCCCTCGCTCCACAACCGCGCGGCCCAGACCCCGGTCTTTATCCCGGAAGGTGCTTCCTTTGCAACATTCTTGCTCTGTAATATTGTTGATATAAACTATAGAACCTCTATGGAGGTCAATTCATGTTTGATCTACTACTGGTATTTATTCTTTTTTAGATCTGCGCTTAACTCGCCCGAGAACAAGTATACGGAAAGTTCTTGGGCCTCTATTTAGAACCTTGGCAGGTCAGAGTATAACCCCTCAACCTTCAAAATTAAAGCAGACATGAGAAACATTAGAATTTACCAACTCTACATGTATATAAGCTCTACCATAGCTTCCTTTTTGATGCTCTTATAGGTCCGGTAGACGCCCCCAACCGCTCCCAGGTCTAGAACAAGGGCGCACCCCAACATATATTGTATATCAAATACACAATAGAGTGCCCCTTCCCAACTAAGCCAGCTCTCATCTTCTATGACGTGGTCTTGTTGGCTTGCAATGCTATCTCCCTAATAATCACTACATTTTACGTCGTACATTGTACATACTATATCGAAGGACCTGGAATCTGCACCTTACTGTAATAGCCATATGTAATGTAACCCCGAAGGAAATTAACCGGAGACCTTAGTTCAGATATTGGTTTCCACGGGGGTACTCGGGTTCTGTCACCGTCTGATGCAGGTGCGGGTTTGGAGGCTGAGACATGTGAAACAATGCCTGCCACGCTACTGCGGAAATGCAACTGCGGACACGCAACAAAGACATGCAACAAAGACCTTTGAATGATGTGTGACTGGATAGGGGTGCAGCTCATTTTAAACTCTGGAGGTACCGTTCGGCGTTTCATATTCCTTGGACGTATCTGATAGGAGAGTGCACGGTCATATATAGATAAACCTTTGGGAAATATATTTGTAGTCATTCTTCGAGGTTCCTGATGATTACCTCTACTTTACACCCCTGCCTAGGTGTTTGATAATATCAAGATCAACAAGCCCCCAAGCCTTGATTTTTGCCCGTTGCCCCCCTCGTACATCTGCCTACAGGGCTGAATTGACTTCCTGAGGGGAGAGGTCAGTGCCCGGCTTCTCAAGGTTCACCGCATATCCAAGATAAGCCAATGGTGGAAGATTGAAAGCAACAAGCAGGTTATTTAGAGCAGATCCATAGCACATATAAATATATACAATAATGGAGAGTGTCTAACTGTACGGAGTACGGAGTACTTTGTACATAGTTAGATGTCAGATAGTGACACAACACACCGAAGACCTGGGACCGCAACACAGCCCCGCCTGTCTGCCTAAGGCAACGCCCCGAATTTTTGCGTCACTCTCCACTTTTAAGCTCCAAAAGTGGGTTGAAAGAGTATGAAACGGAGTACAGAACTCCTGACCAGAGATTTGGACTAAAGATTCGTAGTAAATCTACATCTATATATACATATATAAATAGAAATTTATTGAACTTGAGACCGAACAATTGATATATTGATGATAAGAACGCATGATCGCACAGACAAGTCATCTGGTGGCGCCCCAATAAATTAAGAACCCCCGTGTCGCTTAAAACGGTGTTCTTTTATAGGAGTATTAGGATTACAATTGGGATTGGGATTATTGCTCGGGTTAAACAAGAGAATTTAATACTAGATCATACTGGTCATACCTTACAGGTGGGATCTGACAGGAGAACGTGCCCAATTTCCCCCGGGTTTTTCCCAAGGATATATATACCTTAGATGATACATACATATCAAATATATTGCCTAGGCAAAAGAAGTAAATGCATAAAGAATAAGCTCTAGCATGTAACTCTGGAAATAAAATATATAAACGACCAATAACCATAACAGAAAAAGAGAGAGAGAAAAAAAAAAAAGGGAAGAAAACGGGTGAATTACATTAATTACCAGACTGTGTAAATGTAAGCTGAACCGTACATGTTTTTTTTTTACATTTCTTACACTTTCTCCCCCAAGTCATCTCCACTCCCCCAGCATGACGATGGTCGCACTGACACTCTGATTCTTTAAACTCTTGACACTTTTATTACCCTTACCCTTACTCGACTCTTACCTTTTATTACTCTGGAACTCTCAACATCTTATCCCAAACTTATCCCTGATCCTCCGCGTTTACCCTTCCGCCCCCGTCCTAACCGCTATACCCGAACTTCAACGACTCTCCTTCCAAGCTCGTTTGTCGCACCTCTTTTAAACCTCAACGTTCGCCTTGACACCATTCTCAACCTACCTCCCACTCAAATTGATTCCGATCTTACGTATCGCCATTTTTACACTCGGTCACGCTGATCCTTTCCCGTGTGTGGCGCTTGGCAGTCTTAGCAAACGAAGGCTCCGGCCGTCTTCACCGGCACATTTTGTTCCTGCGCGTGGTTGATGAGTCTCCTCCCTGCTGGACTGGGCCACTGAGGATTCCGAAATGGGGTCGTGTTTCAGCTCAGAGCCCGCGGGGGACGCGGAACAGAAGAAGCGAAGCCAACAGATCGATCGCAAGCTAGAAGAAGATTCTAGGCGGCTACGAAGGGAGTGCAAGATCCTTCTCTTGGGTAGGTATCCTGGTATTCGCTTGGAGGAGAGCGGATGGTTCGCTGACTTTTAAACGCAGGATCTGGAGAAAGTGGAAAATCAACGATCGTAAAACAGATGAAGATCATCCACCAAAATGGTTACACCGTGGAAGAACTTGCGCTGTATCGTTTGACCGTCTACAAAAATCTCCTGGATTGCGCAAAAGCCCTCATTGGGGCATATCACTATCTCCAACTCGAACCGTCCAGCCAGAAAGTGCAGGACTACATTTCATTTCTGGAGGAGTACAACGTGGACCCGGATCCCAACACCTCGCTTGATTCGAAAATCGGCGACGCCATTACGTATCTCTGGAACGACCCGTGTACATCAACAGTTTTGGAACATCAGAATGAATTTTATCTGATGGACTCAGCCCCATAGTAAGTCCACTTATCGTTTCCTCTGACTCCAAGGCCGAGTTCTAACCCCATGACTAGTTTCTTCGAGGAAGCGAAACGAATAACGGCCCCCGATTATGTACCGGATGTTGCAGATGTGCTCCGAGCCAGAACAAAGACCACCGGTATCTATGAGACACGCTTCACAATGGGGCAATTGAGCATACAGTACGTGGAAATAGTCTTTGACACTCTCGATTTGGGATACCGCTAACCAGTCACAGTATGTTTGATGTGGGCGGCCAGCGCAGTGAGCGAAAAAAATGGATACATTGCTTCGAAAACGTGACATCCATTATCTTTTGCGTTGCGCTCAGTGAATATGATCAAGTCCTGCTGGAAGAAAGCAATCAGGTATGAGGTCTCAATACACCGAGTGTACTACACCGGAACTGACAGACCTTGGCAGAATCGCATGATGGAAAGTTTGGTTCTCTTCGACTCCGTGGTCAATTCTCGGTGGTTCATGCGGACAAGTATCATCCTTTTCCTGAACAAAGTTGATTTGTTCCGCTTGAAGTTGCCTCGATCACCGTTGAGCAACTACTTCCCCGATTACTCGGGCGGCAACGACGTGCACCGTGCCGCGAAGTACCTTCTTTGGCGATTCAACCAGGTGAATCGAGCACACTTGAACCTGTACCCACAGTGAGTTCACATGATCCTAACAGTGCCGGTCCCCCCGCACCGTGATTCCTGACTGATTTTTTTCCTTCTTCCTCTTTAGTCTCACCCAAGCGACTGATACCTCGAATATCCGTTTGGTCTTCGCAGCAGTCAAAGAGACTATCCTGCAAAATGCCTTGAAAGACTCGGGCATTCTATAACCGCTGAAATATACCTCGAGGACCCAGTCACACAAGTGTCCTCATGTGCGTATGCGCACTTTCCCTCTCAATCCAACCTTATGACCAAACACCGTCCCTATTCTCAACATCGCTCTCGGTGTTTTCTGATTTCCCTCTCCTGGAGTCTGCATGAACAGTTCTCCAACGATCACTCATACCATACCCTTTTCATCTTTTCCCTTTACTTTTGACCAGCTGCAGGCGTTGATGGCGCCTTTATGGCTTTTTCGGCTGATTTCCCAGGCGCTGGCTCTGGTCTGGGGATATCCCATTTGGTTCTTAATGTGGTTTTCCTATATTAAACATGGGTCTATGTTCCATAAAGGTCTCAGTAGCACGTTCGAGCAGTCAACTATATGCTACTGTTTCTGTTCCATGTGCTTTTTTTCTCATTGATTAAGCCCCGGAATGAGCGTATGACAGCCAATTTCGAAAATGCCGGGCAAGAAACCCGGCAGCGGGACTGGATACTCTCCGGACTTTCTTTTCGTGTACTCGATAATCCTCGCGGGGTACGCACCAACCCAATGGGCTTTCTGTTGCCCTGTCTTCACTATATCTTATATCTTTTCTTTGCCTTGTCTCCCCGAGGTCTGTTTCCAGTCTCTCGTGCATACCATGGCGGTTTTTCCTATTTTCGACATTGCCATGTTCCTGTTCTGATATTTATTCCCTCTAATTTCTCTTCTCCCGTTCTCCGATTTTGTGTCTTTTCTCTGTGTTTCTCTTCTCCTATTTCACCTCACTATTAACCCGCTATTCCAAGCGCTTCCACGTCTGATGCTTTCTGATTTTCCGCTTTGGTTCTTTATCTCTTAAGCGTTCTTGTTTCAACCTCCCGAGGAGTCTAATATATCTTACTGCACAGACCGATACCGGGATCGCTGAGAATGGGTCATGTCTACGGGTGCCAGATCGCGATCCCCCCGGATCCCTGGTTGGGTGGAACGGAGTTGGGATTGGGATGTGGCCCGGGCTTATTTATGTATAGTTGAGCCTCGATATACCAATACTTCCCATTCGAGTCTGCTTTTGTTCCTGTATACTGTTCACCGTAGATGTGCTTAGCGTAGATGGTAGTCGTGAGAAGCTCTTACGTTTGGGTGGTCGACTTCTAGCTCTAGGTTGGTTGATATCCAGTTCGGGGGTGAGATAAAGAGGAGAGGAAGCACCTCTACAAGGAGCTTCTTCTACTCTCTCTCCCAGCGAGTCTACAATACACTACACCTCTTAGCATTCCAATTCCCGCCTGCAACGCCCCTGCAGCGCCCTGCACGTCATCCTATCACACAGCCACCCACATCATAGCAACTACCCACCCCCACCGCTAACAATTTTCCTGAGGATGGAGTCTCCAAGGCCCCGCAGGCTAGACCCTCTCGAAAGTCTATCCCCTCGTGTAATGCATCTGGGAAACTACCCCGGGGTTAGGACCAACTCATGGTAGGTAGGCACTGGGGCCTCGTCGGCGCACGGTACGCGCTTCATGCAATGCATCTGTGCGTTGGCGTTCGCGGGGTATCTAGGTTTGTAGGCATCTGGTGAGCTCGAAGGTGGGGTTTATAATCACGCAGTAGGAAAGGGGAGGTGTAGATATGGGTATTAATGGTTGGTGGTTTGGGGATGGGGATGGGGATGGGGGTGTTCCGGGATAGGAAGATGTGGAGCCGAAGAGGTTCTAGGCCCCTGATTGATATTGGCTTTAGAGTCGGGCAATTCCAGAGAGACTGTGGGAGACTATGGGAGACTTTCAAGGTCAAGTTGAAATGGCATGATGTGTCTTAGGCATTTATAGTATGCACGGGCCCTATGTAGAATCAAGTATTTGAAGTATTTGAAGTATTTCAAGGATTTCAAGGATTATAGAGCAATTAGAATAGGCATATGACACATTTCTGTGCCTTTTAAATGCAGTGACACTCCAAAAAGAACTAAAAAGATACTAAAATCTAAAAAAGAACCAAAAACAAAAAAAAAAAAAAAAGAAAGGCGTCCGGTGTCACTCTAAAAGTCATGACTACATGGACATGGCCCTTCCCCTCTTTTTCCTTTAAGTAGCCAAGGACTTGCTTGTGTATTTCCTTTTCTGTACTGGAACTTCTCCAGTTTACAGCTCTTCAAATTCCACTTCACTTTTTCCTCTTTCCATAATGTCAACCATCCCAGATGCAGTTGCACCGACCGAACCGATCGAACCAACCCAACCTCGCCGGGAGCGCAGACCCTCCGTAGGAGCTCCTATTGGCGATCTCCAGGGTCCTGTCGGCCCGGGATTCAGTCGTCCCAAGCACAAGCGCACATTCACCGGCTTGGGGCCTGCCGAGATTAAGAATGTTGAAGCTAGCATTCCTGAGCCATTACGAGAAGCGTGAGTACCGTACCTGCCTTTCCGAGGTCCCTAGTACTTGCTTATAGTTGAACTGACCATGACTCTCGCAGCTGGAGGAAACATGTATGTTGAGACGAAATGAGGATTGGGGACTAAAATGCTAATGCCTCGAGTCAATCTAGTCGGCAACTGAATTCACCACCAAAGATGAATTCGAGGTGAGTTCGACTTGTATCCGTACTTGATACTTCGGGTTTAACGCCCCTCACAGAAAGATCTTGTACGCCATATCGAAACGACCCTCGCTCGCTCGTTGTATAATTGCGATGAGTTGTATGTGGTTTGTATCCTTGATGCAAGCGGTCCTTGCTGACTTGGGAATTTCTGTAGGGCCGCGTACTCGGGAACTGCGCTTGCTTTTAGAGACCGGTTGATCATTGAGTGGAACAAAACTCAGCAGCGTCAGACCTTTACCGATCAGAAGCGAGTTTACTGTACGTGTTCATACCCGTCGGCAGAAAGACAATGGCTAATCGCTGGTGTAGATTTGTCGCTTGAGTTCCTCATGGGACGTACATTGGACAATGCTATGCTGAATGTTGGCTTGAAAGATGTTGCTCGAGGTAAGCGCTGGGAACATCTGTGAACTGGATTATCACTGATGATACCAGATGGATTGAGCGACCTTGGATTCCGCGTCGAGGACGTGATCAACCAGGAGCACGATGCTGCGTTGGGCAACGGTGGTCTAGGGCGTCTGGCGGCATGCTTTTTGGACAGCATGGCGACACTGAACTACCCAGCTTGGGGATATGGGCTGCGCTACCGCTATGGCATCTTCAAGCAGGAGATTGTCGACGGCTACCAGGTGGAGATTCCAGACTACTGGCTGGATAACAACCCTTGGGAATTCCCGCGGCATGAAATCACAGTAGACATTCAGTTCTACGGTAACGTCAAGAAATATCAGGATGAGAGTGGCAGGATCTCGCACTCGTGGGAGGATGGTGAGATTGTTCAAGCCATCGCGTACGATGTCCCCATTCCCGGGTACGGCACAAAGACCACCAACAATCTTCGCCTGTGGTCTAGTAAGGCCAGCAGCGGGGAGTTTGATTTCCAAAAGTTCAATGCTGGAGACTATGAAAGTGCAGTGGCGGACCAGCAGAGAGCTGAAACAATCTCAGCTGTTCTCTACCCCAATGATAACCTCGAGCGAGGCAAAGAACTGCGTCTGAAACAGCAGTACTTCTGGTGTGCTGCCTCGCTGTTTGACATCGTTCGGCGTTTTAAGAAGACGAAACGGGCCTGGGGCGAGTTCCCTGACCAGATTGCCATCCAGCTTAATGACACCCACCCGACCCTTGCAATTGTTGAATTGCAACGCATCTTGATTGACAAGGAGGGCTTGGAATGGGATGAGGCGTGGAACATCGTGACCAAGACCTTCGGGTATACTAATCACACTGTCCTTCCCGAAGCGCTGGAGAAATGGTCTGTCCCGCTGATGCAGAATCTACTCCCGCGACACTTGCAAATCATCTATGAGATCAATCTGTTCTTCTTGCAATCTGTTGAGAAGCGGTTCCCCAATGATCGGGATATCCTGTCGCGCGTCTCAATTATTGAAGAATCGCATCCCAAAATGGTGCGCATGGCCTATCTAGCCATCATTGGCTCTCACAAAGTCAACGGTGTGGCCGAGCTGCATTCAGACTTGCTCAAGACTACTCTCTTCAAAGACTTCGTGAAGATTTATGGACCAGACCGTTTCACCAATGTTACTAATGGTATCACCCCCAGACGTTGGCTCCACCAGGCCAACCCCAGGTTGTCTGCGTTGATTGCAGAGAAACTTGGAAGCTATGACTTCCTGAAGGACCTCACCCTTTTGGACAAGATAGAGGCCTTTGTCGACGACAAGGCTTTCCGCGAGGAGTGGGCGGTCATCAAACGGGAGAACAAACTGCGCCTAGCCAGACACATCAAGGCCACCACCGGATTTGATGTCAACCCCAATGCGCTCTTTGACGTGCAGGTAAAGCGTATCCACGAGTACAAGCGCCAGCAGCTCAACATCTTTGGAGTCATCCACCGCTACTTGAGTATCAAAGCTATGTCAGCCGAAGAGAAGAAGAAAGTGGTGCCTCGAGTTTCCATCTTCGGAGGCAAGGCAGCCCCCGGTTACTGGATGGCGAAGACTATTATTCATCTCATCAACAAGGTGGCCGATGTAGTGAACAAGGACCCTGATATTGGCGACCTTTTGAAGGTTATCTTCATCGCGGATTACAACGTCAGTAAAGCAGAGATTATCTGCCCTGCGTCGGATATCAGCGAGCACATATCAACTGCCGGTACCGAAGGCAGTGGCACGAGCAACATGAAGTTCGTCCTGAACGGTGGTCTAATCATCGGAACCTGCGATGGAGCCAACGTAAGTCTTCTTTCATGTCTACGGGTATACGCAACTTCTATCCCAGTAATACTAACCCAACTCACAGATCGAGATCACTCGCGAGATCGGCGAGCAGAACATCTTCCTCTTCGGCAATCTCGCCGAAGACGTCGAGGACCTGCGTCACCGACACTTCTACGGCGACTTCAAGCTGGACCCACAGCTGGAGCGCGTCTTTGATGCAATCAAGGA